CTGATCCACATCATCTCCCACTGGGGATGGAGACCGTGGAGATGCTTCCGTGCGGTCATCAGGGTTGGGTCTGCCCAGAGCCCTTCTCTGCATGTTCTCATCAAAGGTCATTGCACAGGAGAGGGGGACAGTCCCAAAACATCCAGCACTGGCTCAGAGCAGAGTCACAAGGAACAAACTGAGATCACCATTTCCTCATGATCCAGGCAATTAACAAGTGACACCTTTAGGCATCCAGTTGGGTCATTACTCAGTGACTGACATCTCCCATAATCTACATGGCCTCAGGAAAAGCTGTTTGTCTCTCCATACTGCAGATCCTACAGATGGACTGGCCCCTTTATCAGCAAGCAAAGAGAGTCAGGACTCAATTTAAAAGCTGCAAGAGCCAGCATGGTGAAACCAGGCACTGCACATAGGTGGTTAGTCCTAGCTGAAGAGCCAGGAGAACCACTTGTGGGTGGAGGACCCACTCACGAGCCACCCCGGGTCTGACCCTGCATCCAGCTAGCTGGAGAAGCCAGGCAGACCTAAGGAGACCTTCCTTTTCAAGAGCTCCCACTTGTTTCCTAAGCGGCTGTCCTCGATTTAATCAGTAACTGAAGAAGTAGGATGAAATCCTGGCTCAGCTGAAGCCAAATTACTGACACCCCTGATGGCAGGATTCCCTTCCCAGCTCCACCACCTTTCTCATCTGGGTCACACAAGAAACTACTAACCAGCCACATTTAACCTGTTCCCAGTGGGCTGGGCCCCAGCACCTTTCCAGAGCATGCCCTGGCCTCCTTCAAGAGGCCAAAAGACCTCCAGCCCCTCTTCTATGGCTCTGCACCAGCTCACAACGCAGCCGATGAACAGCAAGCATAGATCTTAGCCGGGACTTCTCTGAACACCACGTTGGAGGAGCTGCTGGACCTCCAGGAGGCATTTCAAGAGAGCAAAGCAAGGCTGCTCCGATAACGTGAGGTTCAAGCACAAACAGAGGCTCTTGCAGAGCTCTGCAAATCACCCCCTCAGCAGTCTGTGCCTGGCTCCCTTCCTAGGACCATCCCTCCCCATCCTCCACCAGCAGAAAGATGGAGGACAGTCACGTGAGCCAATATCAACATCCCAGAAAAAGGGAAAAAACACAGACTCGGAGGAATAAAAACAATTTTGCCTAGCAACACAAAGTGCTTCTCTCCCCGCCCCCCCCCAGGTAACAGCATCCAAAAGACAGCTCAGCAAAACCTCACCCACCTAAGCCTGGCTGATTTCTCCTCCAGAAGCTGTGTTCAGGAAGGCAGATGTGGTCACAGCCAGAGGCTGCACAAGGATATGAAGGCTCATATACCAAAAAGGGTAGTCTAGGAAGATCAAATAGGACTGAAAAACACACACAAAAAATAAGCGGTATGTGGATACTGGAGCAGCACCAGGGCACTGTGAAAGTGTGAAAGGGCAGAAGAAACCCCAGCAGACACATCTGATTCATCAGGCTTTTCAGGAAGAGAAAAGCCCTCATGTCCTCATGGTAATTGGGCTGGCACAGCCCAGTGTTAAAAGATGCTGCAAGTGTGATCTTGGTTAGCTCATCTGCTGGAGGCTATATTTGAAGGGAGCTGTGGCTAATCTTATTTTGATTGCCTTAAAATTCAGTTATGGGGAAAAGCCTGGTGTGTGAGCAGATATATTAATCATTTTGGAGCAGCCTTGTCTCCTAAGCTGGTGTTTGATTAAAAGGGAGTACAATCAACAGGCACTTCAAAAAGCTGGTGCTATTTTTGACTGCTTCATTTGGAGCAGTTCCCGATGCTCCAATGTGCCTAGCTGACCCTTTGGGACTGATACTTGCATTTTCTTGTATTCAATGAACATTTCTGTATCATTGTTCACATTTTAAGAATGTGTGAGCAAGCAAAGGGAGTTGCTTCCTCCTGAGAGGCTAATATTAAGAGTCAAAATGTTTCATATAAACACACAAGCAGTAAATTCAGCTTCTGAAGGTTTCAGGCTCAATTTGCAAGAGCTCCACAGCCTTAAGAGGAGGCCTCTCTGCCCTATATACCTGGGAAATGGTGTTCAGGTATCTGCAAAGCAGACTCAGCAAGGAGGCTTTAGGCAAAAAATCAGAAAACAATGTCTAGAGGAAAGAAGATTTTTTTTTTTTCCTTCTAATTCATTATAATCTTTTTTTACATATATTTTTAATAATCATCTTAAAAGCCATTTTGCAGCACAATGTTGTTTTGACCTTGTTCTCAGCTGGGTAATTGTGAAGTGAGCGGATAAATGCTTTCTCAGCTGAGAACAAGAGGAACCATTAAGCATCAAGCTCCTGTCCTAAATTTATGTTCAAGGCAGCTAGAGAAGCAAAGGACTGATGCCTGCTCCTGTTACCACCCTGACGGCCAGCCTGGAGATGGCATCTTCTGCGGGGACATGCAAATGGTATTCCACGTCTCTGTGTCGATGAGGAGCAGGGAGATGCTGTTTAGCTCCAGGACAAAACCTGGCTGCCCATCAGCTACTGCCTTGGCTGCTGGTGCTGCTTGGTGGCCAAAACTAAGCCATGGCCCCTTCTACCAATTTCTTCATTCCCCAGGAGAAAAGGGGCTCTGGAGGAACAGGGCTCCAGCTTCAAGGATGCACAGCGTTCCAAGGTACAGGAATCTCAAAAAGAGCATTACCATGTCGTGTCCTTCCTTCTGTGCAAATGCCCTTACAGAAGTTTCCTTAATTTAGGCGTAATCCATTTTTTCCTCTGTAACATTTTCTTGGAAGGCAGAATGAACAGTAGCTGTCCCCCGCCCCCACACCCATATCAGCAGAAAACCCCAATGTTTCTGGGCTCATGAGTTACTCCAGAGCAGCGTGGCTTTCTTCTGGCTGCAGTACCCCTGCTCCAGCCCAGACAGCGGTCAAAGTCCTCGTGGTCACATCACGATTGGAGGAAAGGACACGGTGTCCCCTTTGCTTCTGCTCCAGTGACACTCCACCCCGCACAGGCACAGAGAGGGTAATTTTGGGACTGTGGAGATGAAGGTGCTGCCTTGAATGTTCCCCAGAAGGGAGATGCAAAAGACTGCTTGGTCCACAAAAAAGTGATGGCAGGAACAGCCTCATCAGCCCAACAGTATGCTTGTGTGCGATTAATCCAGATTTAAAGATGGGAATGGTTAAAGCATCCACCCCTGAACAAAGTACCTCTCGGGGAGCTGGGAAATAGCATCACAAGCTAAATAAAGGACTGTGAGAGCAACATGACACATTTCTACTATCTTGCTTACTTTTCTAAATGCCTGTTTTTATACCAAAGGCGGATGAGCAGCATTTTCTCCATAGGGAGACTGGGAAAGGGTCCTCTTCCACAAAGCCCCTTTTTTCATGAAGTTTCCTGGAATTTTATTTTCTGTGGGATTTCTACATCATGTAGAACTTGTGTGGAGGAGACTGGGGAGACGCACAAACACCTGTACTTACCCCATAACCCTCCCCTATAGACACTCACAAGCCCAGTCCCTTTCCCACTCCAGTCACAGCTGGACCATCACTCCCTGGAGAATCAATAGCCACCTAGAAAACCCCATTTTTTTGGAGAGCACACATGGATTGCAAGACACCTGCCCCCCCCCCCCAAAAAACCCCACAAATGAAGAGCCAAAGCCTACCCACTTCAAATGGTGAAGGCAATGTGCATACAAAAGAAGCTGCCAGGATGAATCACAGAAAGGAGGCAGAAGTTGGAATTAAGGTTTTGTTCTTTTTTTCTTTTTTTATTATAAAAAAAAAAATCTATTCGGAAGAAGTCCAAATGCAACAGAATATAACTGGCACCGTCTAAGATACCCAAGTGTAAAATCCTGGAACGTTTGAACCCCCCAGCATGAGCTGGGAGGTGCCAGGGCTGGCTGGGAGGGAAGGGGTGGCCTCCCCCTTCTCCTAGCCACCGTCACAGCTGGATGGCAGGCAGCCCAAGAGCCAGGACACAACAGTGACGTCAACGGTCTCTGTAAAACCATTCAGTTTTAGAAACTAAGAACATTATGAAAAAAAAAAAAATTCTAAAACTTTTTTTTCTTTTATCAAAAGCCCTGCTTTAGTGACATGCTAGCCCTGCTGGAAAGGTAAAACACCCACAGCTCTGTCCAGAACAGTTAAGTTGACCGGTCAACTCCTAGTTCAGGACACCTTCCTCCTGTTGATCTACATGCTTATAAGCGCGTTGTGGCTGCTCGAGTTACAGCAATAAATGCTTCTGCAGGCTTCCCAGGTCTGGGAACTGCCTCCTGCAAACTCACTCCACGCTGAAACAAATCTCACCCAAGTCTCCTCCACCAAACCCTCCAAGCTCACCCTCAGCCCCACCTGGAGGCCCTCCAACAACATCCTCAGGAGCTCTGCCTGCTCTAGCTGGGTGAGTCATTGGAACGTCTTCTCTTTTTAAACAAAAAAAAAACCAAACCACTTTCATATATAATTTTTTTGTTGTTTTTAGATTTAAATAGAAAAATACTACTTCACTCTGTGTTATGAGCCAGAGACCAGTTGACTTCCAGTGACAGAACCAGGAGTTCTCCTCAATGCTCCTATGCTGAGCTCAATGCCAGAAGATTCCCAGAAACCTCAGAGTGGCCAGAGGGTGAAGATCTCCCCATCACACCATACAGGCAGGAGCACACAGGGCTCCATCACAGCTCCTGTCTTCCCTTCTCCACAGAAGGGCACCAACCTTAGAGAACCATCAGTCTCCAGAGAGCTGGCTAACAACCCAAATTTGTCTCTTGGGGAAGTCAGGTATAGTTTTAAGCTTTCCACTCATCTACTGGCTTTCTGTGTGTGCAGTCTGTTCCTGGAAGCCACTGGATCCCATCAGATGTACACAAGAATTAGACAAAAAATAAAACAGTGGTTAAAAGTTCTCTAATACCCTCTCCTCCTCTCGTCTTCTGAAGAGTCAATGACAAAAAGACATCGATAAAACTAAATTTGCCCTCCTCCCCACCTCAAGACAACAAGAGTTACTGAGACACAAAACGTGTTATCTTGTACCCTCGGGATTACATCTAGAAGGAAAGTTTAGGGGTGGGGAAGTGGGGGGGGAAGGCGGTGTCTGTGGGCGCAGTCTGCTTAGTTCTTGTACTCAAAAGGCTCGTCTCCAGTTTCGTTGAGGAGACACGTACGGACGAGGGCCTCTGTCACAGCATAAGGATCACAGTTGGCGGAGGGCCGGCGGTCCTCGAAGTAACCCTTCTTCTCATGGCCCACGTTCCTGGGGATGCGGATGCTGGCGCCGCGGTTGGCCACGCCAGCGGAGAACTCATGGATGTTGGATGTCTCGTGGAAACCCGTCAGGCGCCTGGCATTGTCCAGCCCCCCTTTGGGGTCGTAGGCACGGATGTGGTATTGGTGACGCTTGCTCAGCTTCTCGATGGCCTCTTCAATGTGCCTGCAAAGGGAGCAAGGAAGGGGGGAAGACACAGTGAGTGTCTGATGGATGGTACAAGCTGAGCCACTCTTGACTGTTGCGTCAAAGCGACAACAGATTCGTCGCTGTCCCCAAGCCGCTTCATGACGAAGCCTTACACCCTACAACCCACTTTTCTGATTATCTCAACGCAGGGCTTCTCTCCACTCCTACTGCTGACCGAAGCTGGTTCTCGCAAAAGGATCCCCGTGGCCAAATCCCACAGGGTTCCTCGGGAGTGCTGTGTGCGAGACAACACCAGTTCAACCCATGGCCAAGTCCCACAGGCGCACTGCTCCTGGGGAAGCTGCTCTCAGAAGGGAGATGTCTCAACACAGAAGTTTCTGTTCCGGAAGCTCACACGGTCATGGGTTGGCTCATTATCTCAGGGCATCGCCAAGATTAAGGCAAGAAAACACAGCTGCCAGGAGGAATCCCTTCACAGAGCTCCACTGCAACTCAGTGCTGTAAGGTCCCTGCCTGCACTCAGCACATCAGTCCCATATGGGAACTCAGGTTTTACATTTCCAGGATCTTCATGTTTAAGAAAACGTGGCATTTGCTTCCACAGCCTGGCCCAGACAGAAGCAAACGGTCTTTCTCTTTCATTATAGTTATACAAAAAAAAGGCCAATGCTGAATTTATTTATTTGTTTCCAGCATTGGCAGATCAAGAGCTGGACAGCTTGTTAGGAATAGCTGCATCGTGGCCACGTGTGCTTCTGTCAGCACCGATGGAGCTGTACTGCTGGCTGACTTTCCCACCCAGCACCAAGATGGGAGCATATCGTTATACAAAATAAATAAATTTTAAAAATCCAGAAGAAAAGCTCAAACATAATGCCAAGCACCAGAGTGATGTCTCCCGTGTGGGCAAAAGGTCTGCAAAAAGCTCACTGCTACCAAGTCCAGCCTGCTGCCTAGCAAACGAATGCTACTGCCCCATCTCAAAACAAACTTACTTGAGACCTCCGTCTTCCCTCATGTTCTTGGTACTGAAGTTGGTGTGACAGCCAGCACCGTTCCAGTTCCCAGGGATGGGTTTGGGATCGAAGGACACAATGACACCGAAGTCTTCACACACCCGATGGAGGATGAAGCGTGCAATCCAGAGGTGATCCCCCATCTCAATCCCTTCGCATGGTCCCACCTGGAACTCCCACTACAAGGAGGAGGAGTCACTGGCTCAGTGGTGCAGAGACAGTCGCTGCGAGGCACCTCCCACCCCTTTATGCTCCGGTCATCGATAAAAAAAACTACATGACTCGGAGCAGGCAGCAAAAGCTCACACTGCCTGGGATTTTTCTGTACTATCTTATTCCACAAGGCACCTAAAACAATTTACCTGGGCTGGCATCACTTCTGCATTGGTTCCTCCAATTTTCACACCAGCATAAAGGCATGCTCGGTAGTGAGCCTCCACAATGTCTCTGCCATAGGCTTTGTCTGCTCCTACACCGCAGTAATACGGACCTGCAATGGCACAGGTGAACAGCACGGAGAACATGAGTTTCCAGGAGGAAAAAGGCTCAAACTCAGTGAAGACAGAGCACATACAGGGAAGAACTCTCCAAAGGCTTGGGATGTGCAGAAAAGCCCCCAAATCTGTTTTTAATGGAAACGCTAGCAGAGCAGAGCACTGGTAAAGAGTGAGTCCCTCTGAGAGTCTGGACTTGTGCTCTGTCTTCACTGAGTTTGAGATTGTTAGTCACCTGCAGACTAACAAACCAAGCAGCAAATTTGGATGTGGCCAATCACCATCTCAGCCTTTCTGTAACAATCTTCATCTCATGGGTTAATTTTTGCCAGTATCCTGCTTGCTATTGTCCACCTTCAGCTCTAGAAACAGCTCGAATCTTTCAGCTCGCCTGAAGCACTTAAGCTGTGTCACACGGATTACAGTTCAAATGCTCCTAAGATGGTCCAGCACAGACTCCCGAAAGATTACCTTGGGGTCCAGGGAAGCCATTGGAAGGCCAGCCAAAAGGATGTCCATCTGTCCCCAGAAGGGTGTACTCTTGCTCCATCCCAAACCAGGGGTGCTGGTTGGACACCATATCCATAATCCGTCTGCAGGTGTGTCGGAGATTTGTCTCTAGAACGGAAAAGCAACGCGAGGCTTATTAGTATCTCCACCTCCATTCCCCATTTCCACTTCATTTACAGTTTGAGTCCCAGCAGCGTGGGTGAAGAATCCCAGCACCAGCCCTTCCTCCACCACCACTTTGTTTGCCTTGTACTTTCAGGGCAGGGATTATTTTTGTGTCATGCATGAAGCTAAGGGCACAAACAACATTTGGATAGGTATCCCCTTCCCGGAAAGGAAATCCCCTTCTCCTGCACCAGGAGAAGGAAGAAGGTCCATTCACCTGCAGACTGGCGGTTGTATTTGAAGACCTCACAGAGAACTAGTTTATTGGGATCCTTGCGAAAAGGGTCCCGAAACATGGCAGCAGGTCGCAGGTACATGTCGCTGTTGGAGCCTTCAGCCTGGAAGGTGCTGGAGCCATCGAAATTCCACTCGGGGAGATCTGGAGCAGAGAGAGGAATAAGCCACAGTGACCCAGGGTCCCCGGTCACCAGGAGGATGGGCTCCCTGCCACCCTCCGGTATTACAGAGGTGAAGATGCTTATAAACAACAGGCCTACAATAGGTTTAATCCCAGCTCATCTGATTTTGTTCCAAATGGGGGAAGAAAAAAAATAAAATACTAAAACCCCCAAAACCAAAACGAGCAAAAAACAGGGGAGTGCAACTCCCCAGCCACCCTGGGAAACACAAGGAGCTGGGCTGCTGGCCAAACCCAAGCAAACCGAGCAGCAATGAAGATGTTTCCCATGTCACAACAACCACTGGGACAGGCAGAGCACCCAGTCTCAGCTGGGCAAGCTGAGAGAGAGCAAAGCACACGACATCTTCAAGCTGTAGGAATGAGGGGAGCCATGAAATACCCTTATCCATGTTGGATGGCCTGGAGAAAGTATGGCCAGCTTGGCCCCCTCGCCCACCCCTCCTGGCTGTGCACTGCCCTCCAGGTCAAAGCACAGCGGGAGCAGCAGTGAACTCCACCCGGGGAATGTTATCTTCTCCATATCCTGGGGGGAAAGTGGGAGGATGGGAAGCACAAAGATTTCAAAGGAGCTGTGCCAACCACTCCCTTAGAGGGAAGAGGGGAAAGGAGAGGGGGGGGGGGGGGAAAAAGGAAAAAAAAAAAGGAGAGAGATAATTCTGCTCAGTCACACACAGTATTTTCATTTCATAACTGTCTCCAGCCAGCACCATGGCAACCTGGGGAAAATCCTAATGCTATTATTGTGTAAGCTGGGACTGTTTGTTCTGAGGGACACAAGCTCTTAATTACACCGGATAGCTCCATTCTTTCCCCTCCACTTTCTTCTGCCAAACTACTTCCGGCCAAAACGAGTACTCGAGAGTCAATGGGCTGCCGAGCCCCTGCCAACAGCCCCCAGCCCCTGCCAACAGCCCCCTCCACAGCGGGGGCAGTGCCAGGGATGGGGTCCCGACGCCAGGCATCTCACTGAAATGCCACATCTGGAGAGCTGGGAGCGTTCCCCTGGGGTATCTGGGGAAGGAGGTAACTGGAACGGGGGGAGGAGCAACATCTTCCCCAAACACCATCCTTCTGCCACACAAAGAGACAAATGGCATCCTTTCTCCAGAGCAGCCAAGCCTGGCTGCTTTCTCCACCTGGCGAGGGGCCGCAAATCCTGCACCCGCCCTCTCACCTTCGAGGCTCTTGGGCTCGTGGTCCAGCGTGCGGGTTTTGCAGCGGAGGTGCTCCCCCGTCCCATCGATCCAGATGTACATGGCTTGGACCTTCTCCCCCTGCGGCAGCTTCATGTACATGTGCTTGATAGCTTTGCTCAGGTGGGAGCTCGCTGAGGTGGCCATGGCTGCAGACCGGACGAGGGGGTTCCTGCAGGGAGGATACAAAAAACAACCCCAACCGTGAGTCCTGCCCTCTGCTCCCAGACTTTTCACCCCCCCAGCCAGGGAGGAGCATTGAGACAAGTCAGCCACAGGGCTGGCTGCCGTCTCCAGCGGTCCCATGCTGTTCTGCAAGCAGAAAACACAGCAGCTCAGGCAGACGCAGGCAGCTAGGAAAGCCCTGCTCCAGAAGCGATACCTTCAAAGCATCCCATCAATACCTAAACTCCTGCCCACGTCCTGCCAATAAACTAAGTCTTATCCACCAAGCAACAGCCTTCAAAAGTGCTCCTCGGCCCCGTGTGAACTTTTCACCTCCACACTCACCGCCGTTCTGGAGCAATGCTAATACCCAGGAAAGTTTAGCTGGGGCTTTCTTAACGCACTCAGTTCAGCGAGGAGGGCTCGTCAGCCCTAGCTGCCTTCTCAAATCCGCTGGTCTGAAGTTATACGAGCCTTGTCTAGGGCAGGAGGTAGCGCAAAAGCAAGGGGCACTGCAAGCGACCGCTGAGCAGCCCAGGCAGCGGCCTCTGGGCAGTGACAGGGAGGCTGAAGGGGCTCTGGTCCCAGACGGCGAGAGCTGGCAGCATCCCTGCGAGCCCAGCACCGCCTGGAGCCGGGCTCCCGGGGACAGCCAGCCCACGGGTCACCACCACGACAAGTGGGGACCAGGCGCGTTTGCAGGAGCTCGGAAACGCACTTTATTTAAAAATTGGAAGCGACTTAGAAAGTCACTTCAACACCCTAACCCTCTGCAGGAAGGCTCGGGCTGCCCACCCCGCCTCCCCAGCGCACCCTGCTATGGCGGGGTTCCTCTGGGCTGGCCGGGGGGGGGTCCGCACGGGCCCCACTCCAGGCGTCCCCCACGCGTGCATCTCCCGGCAGGGAGGGAAGCACCCTTACCCTAGCAAGCAGCTAAGGAGCCTCGCACCGAAAAAAAAACAACCAAACCTGCGAAGAGCATCTGTTTTCGCGAGAAAACCCGACCTGCCTCTCCGCTCCCCACCCCCCCAAAACAACAACAACAAAAAAAGCGAAGCAGGAATTTTCCCCTGGAAGGTCTGGAGCCACCGGGGACCGGCACAAGACGGAGCTGTGTGTCCCCCCCCCCCGGGGAAGGCGCGGGCGGCAGCCGGCCGCGGGCACCCCCCGACCCCCGCGGGGCCGTTACCTGGGCTCGGCGCGGGGCT